CTCCAACATAAGAAAGTAAGAAGTTATTACCCATTCTTTGAAGGCTCCAGAGAACTATTCACGATAGTGAAATAGTGGGAGCTATCCGTAATAGAAGCTATGGCAATGAAATTTGATATTGAAAAATTTAATGGTAGAAATTTCTCATTGTGGAAATTGAAGATGAAGGCCATCTTGAGGAAAGACAGTTGTCTAGCATCTATCAGTGAAAGGCCGGTAGATTTCACAGACGACAACAAAGGGATTGAAATGGACGGATATGCTATGGCAAACTTTCATCTAGCATTAGCAGATGAAGTATTGTCAAGCATCGAGGAGAAGAAGACAACTAAGGAGATATGGGATCATCTCACCAAATTGTACGAGGCCACATCGCTTCACAATAAAATTCTCCTTAAGAGAAAATTGTACACTCTCCGTATGTCAGAATCTACTTCAGTGACGCAGCACTTAAACACACTGAACACGTTATTTTCTCAGCTTACATCCTTAAGATGTACAATAGGAGAACAAGAACGTGCTGAACTTCTACTTCAAAGTCTACCGGATTCGTATGATCAACTCATCATCAACTTGACAAACAATAATGTCACCAGTCTAGTCTTCGATGACGTTGCAGTTGCTGTTCTACAAGAAGAAAATCGACGCAAGAATAAGGAAGACAAACAAGTAAATCTGCAACAAGCAGAAGCGTTGACAACGATGAGAGGGAGATCAACAAAACGTGGCCAAAGCAGCAGTCACAAACATGGTAGATCGAAGTCAAGAAGCAAGAAGAATTTAAAGTGCTACTACTGTGGAAAGAAATGTCACTTGAAGAAGGATTGTTGGAGTCTAAATAAAAACTCTAATCCACAAGGCAATACTGCAAACACTTCAGATGATGGAGATGCTTTATGCTGTGAAGCGTCAACCACCGTGGAAGGTAGAAAGAGATATGCAGACATATGACTCATTGATTCGGGAGCAATATATCACATGACCTCAAGAAGAGAATGGTTTCATCATTATGAGCATGTCTCAGGAGGATCTGTGTATAGTTGCAATGATAATGCCTTAGAGATCATTGGCGTGAGAACCATCAAATTGAAGATGTATGATGGAACAATTAAAGTTATTCAAGATGTGCGACATGTGAAAGGCCTGAAGAAAATTTTATTATCCTACGGATTGTTGGATAATAATGCAAGCAAGATTAAAACACGTAAAGGAATCATGAATGTGTTCCGTGGAGCGCTTGTGGTGCTGAAAGGCGAAAAGATAGCAGCAAACTTGTACATGCTAAAGGGAGAGACTTTGCTAGAAGCAGAAGCCTCTGTTGCCTCATGTAGTTCAAATTCTGCAATGTTATGGCATCAGAAACTTGGACACATGTCAGAACAAGGAATAAAAGTCCTTGTGGAGCAAAAGCTACTTCCAGGCTTAACAAAGGTATCACTTACTTTGTGTGAGCATTGCATAACAAGTAAGCAACACCGGTTGAAATTCAACACGTCAAATTCTAGAGGCAAAAGTGTTCTAGAATTGGTTCACTCTGATGTATGGCAAGCACCGGTTACATCCCTTGGCGGAGCAAAATACTTTGTCTCATTTATTGATGACTACTCCAGGAGATGTTGGGTGTACCCTATTAAAAAGAAGTTAGATGTGTTTTCAACTTTCAAAAACTTCAAAGCACTGGTGGAACTTGATTCTGAAAATAAGATCAAGTGTTTCAGAACAGATAATGGAGGAGAATACACAAGCGAAGAATTTGATGACTTTTGTAGGAAAGAATGCATCAAAAGACAGTTCACAGTGGCGAACACTCCTCAACAAAATGGAGTGGCAGAGCGGATGAATAGAACCTTGTTAGAAAAAACAAGAGCAATGTTGATGGATGCAGGCCTAGAAAAATCATTTTGGGCAGAAGCAGTCAATATTGCCTGTTATTTGGTGAATCGAGCTCCATCAACTGCAATAGAGCTGAAGACACCAATGGAGATGTGGACTGGAAAACCAGCTGATTATTCAAACCTCCATGTATTTGGAAGTTTTGTGTACGTGATGTACAACTCCCAAGAAATCTCAAAGCTGGATCCAAAATCCATGAAATGCAAATTCTTGGGGTATGCTGATGGAGTCAAGAGGTATCGCTTATGGGATCCCACTGCCCGTAAAGTGATCATTAGCAGGGATGTTATCTTTGTAGAAGATAAACTAAAAAGAAAAGAAGACGATGGTAGTGCTGAAAAGTCAGAGACTACACAGATACATGTGGAAAAGGAGGGTGAACAAGGAGATTCTTATGAAGCAGAACCAACACATGATGAACAAGAACCAGAGAGTTCTGAAGTTCCAACAACTCGTCAATCAGATCGTGTGAGAAGACTTCCCAATTGGCACTCAGATTATGTTATAGAAGGTAATATTGCATACTGCCTTTTAACAGAGGATGGTGAGCCATCAACATACCAGGAGGCAATAAACAACTCAGATGCTTCACTGTGGATGATGGCGATGCAAGAAGAAATTGAAGCCCTTAATAAAAATAATACATGGGACATTGTTCCACTACCACAAGGAAGGAAGTCAATTGGTAACAAATGAGTCTTTAAAATCAAGCGAAATGGTGACGATCAAGTTGAGAGGTATCGTGCAAGACTGGTGGTCAAAGGATATGCTAAAAAAGAAGGTATTGATTTCAATGAAATATTTTCTCTCGTGGTTTGACTAACAACAGTTCGAGTAGTTTTGGCAATGTGTGCTACATTGAACTTACATCTAGAACAACTAGATGTTAAAGCAGCTTTTCTTCATGGAAATCTTGAAGAAGATATTTATATGCTCCAGCCTGAAGGTTTTGAAGAAAAAGAAAAGAAGAACTTGGTTTGCAGGTTGAACAAATCTCTATACGGTTTAAAGCAGGCGTTGAGGTGTTGGTATAAGAGATTTGATTCCTTCATTATGTGCCTTGGATACAACAGACTTAATGCAGACCCTTGTGCTTATTTCAAGAGGTCTGGTGATAACAATTTTGTTATATTTCTGTTGTATGTGGATGACATGTTGGTTGCAGGACCCAACAAAGATCATATTGAAGAATTGAAGGCACAACTGGCTAGGGAATTTGAAATGAAGGACTTGGATCAGCGAACAATATTCTAGGGATGCAAATTCACCTGGACAGAAGTAATAGGAATATTTGGCTTTCACAAAAGAATTACTTGAAGAAAATCTTGTCACGATTCAGCATGCAAGATTGTAAGCCAATTTCTACCCCTATTTCTATTAACTTCAAATTATCCTCCAGTATGAGTCCTAGCAGTGAAGAAGAGAGGATGGAGATGTCTCGAGTACCGTATGCATCAGCAGTGGGAAGTTTGATGTTTGCTATGATATGCACAAGACCAGACATTGCACAAGCAGTGGGAGCGGTTAGTCGGTACATGGCGAATCCAGGCAAAGAGCATTGGAATACAGTAAAGAGGATCCTGAGATACATCAAAGGGACCTCAAATGTTGCATTATGTTACAGAGGATCAAACTTACTAATCAATGGTTATGTAGATTCTGACTATGCAGCAGTGGGAAGTTTGATGTTTGCTAATCCATGCACAAGACATTGCACAGCAGTGGGAGCGGTTAGTCGGTACATGGCGAATCCAGGCAAAGAGCATTGGAATACAGTAAAGAGGATCCTGAGATACATCAAAGGGACCTCAAATGTTGCATTATGTTACAGAGGATCAAACTTACTAATCAATGGTTATGTAGATTCTGACTATGCAGGAGATTTGGATAAAAGCAAATCTACTACAGGATATGTGTTCAAAGTTGCTGGTGGAGTTGTAAGCTGGGTTTCAAAATTGCAGTCAATTGTGGCTACATCCACAACAGAAGCAGAATATGTAGCAACTACACAAGACAGTAAAGAAGCAATTTGGTTGAAGATGCTATTGGAGGAGCTTGGGCATAATCAAGAGCATGTTTCTCTGTTTTGTGACAGTCAAAGCGCCTTGCATCTAGCAAGGAATCCAGCATTTCATTCAAGGATAAAGCACATACGAGTTCAGTACCATTTCATTCGTGAAAAGGTGGAAGAAGGGACGATAGATATGCAGAAGATCCATACCAAAGACAACATAGCAGATTTCATGACGAAGGCAATCAACACTGATAAATTTACTTGGTGTCGATCCTCTTTTGTATACATATAATCAATTTAGCATATAATTAATACATGATAACATGAATCATATCATTTAGGCATTCAAGCATGTTTTTCTTACCAAGAGTTCTTGAAACCTACCATTTACCAAGATTTTCATGTACAAAGACCATCACGCCATCATATACCATATACAACATATACCAATATAGGCATTTAATCATACACCTTCATACAAAAACTTCTTAAATCCATCATATAACATATACTTCATTTCACACGAATTAAACTACCTTAGTGGTTAAAGAGATAAGTTGTTATCCCTAAAGATTCCAAGTTCGAGCACCGGAGACTTCAAGGGTGTTTGCATTTTCATTTTCAAATTGTTGAAAATATATAAAACTTCAATAGTTGACATTATACATATTATTACTTTATATCATAATAATAATTCAGAATTCACCATAAATATTTATTTATAAAACCTTTTTTATTAATCTGGGGTAAATACAAAGCAATATATGTAAAAAAAATAACTTAAACTTTCGACATTGAAAACTCACACTCATAACATCTATGATGTTCAAACCTTAGTCTTCAAGGAATAACAACAATTCTTTTACCACGGAGGCCACTTGATTCATGCTTATCTATAAAGCTTGAATTCCAAAGATTCTTACTTTTTTCCTTAAAAAAATACAAACCATAAATTAAGTTGATCTACCCTTCACTTGATCAACATGCCAAGTATTTGGTGTAGCCCATAGTTCGAGGACCTCTAGTTGAATTAACCCTTTCTTATTTTGCGTTGGTTTAACTAAAAGCTTGTAGAAGGGGAAAAAAATTACGTTCCAAAGCCGCAGGTCTCAGCCGCTCATCAATGGCTGCCTTAGCCTCCACTCATCCAAATCTTCTTCAGTTCACTCCAAAACTTACGCCTTCGACTCGAAAACTTACGCCTTCGACTCGAAAACTCAAACACAAAAGAATTGCAATGAAACTCTCGGTCCAAGCAATTTCGGCTTCCCCCCAAACTTCTTTTACTGATCAATACGTTCTCCAATTAGCTGACTCATTAGAAGACTCTCTCCCTACTTCTTCTTTTGCGCTTCAAAATCTTAGGAACAATTCCTCGGAAACCATTCTTTCAACCCAATGGCCCTCCCGAAAAGATGAGTCCTTCCGCTTCACGGACACCTCTTTTATCAAGAACTCAGATATAAAGCCAATTTCTCACCCTCCAAAATCCCTAACTTTTTCAGATATTTCAAGAGATACTCAATTGAAAAGTTTTTACTTTGCTGATGGGTTTCTTTTGGATTTTTCATTTGATTCATCAAATTTGCCTGATGGGGTTTATTTAGGTAGCTTGTCAAAGTTACCTTCTGATGGAATACTTGAAAGGGTGTCTGGATTATTAGGTGATTTGGAATGGAGTGATTTGTTTTGGTCTATTAATGGACTAGGTGCACCTGATTTGATGGTTGTTTATGTGCCCGAAGGGTGTAAAGTTGAGCATCCTATTTACTTGAAGTACATTGCAGTTGAGGGAGGTGATGAGGGGTCCAAAACGATGCCGCTTTCAAATCCCAGAGTGTTTGTGTTGGTTGAGAAAGGAGGGGAAGTGGGGATAGTTGAGGAGTTTGCTGGTAATGAAGAGAGCGAGTATTATTGGAATAATTCAGTTTTGGAAGTGGTGGTTGGAGAAGGAGGGAAAGTTAGGCATTCTTATGTGCAAAATCAATCTTTGAATGCTGCTCATATCAAGTGGACTTCAGTCCGGCAGGTAAATTTCGTGCTAATGTTTCTTGAATCGATTTATGTTTACTTTCGATGTTAGTTTAGCATTGCTGTTGGTAGCTAGCTTCTTGGGTTAGTTACAGAAGCTCTTTGTGAAATGTTTTGGATGGCAAAAGCCTTTTGTTTAGTGTTGCTTCTGTCAACTTTTGCTGTCATAAAGTTTTCTTAGCTCAGTGAATAGTTTTATAGATGCTTTTATATTTGCTCAATTGATCTATATGGTGAAAACTCCATTTAGGAAAATGAATGAAATTTCATTGAAAAAGCATAAAAAATGGTATTAATGCAGTGAAACACAACTATATTTGTGTATTTGAGTCAAATCTCCTCAATCATGACTGGACATCCAATTCATTTCCTTTTTCAGACTAGGAGCTTTCTTAAGACTCTATTTGTGTATTTGTGTTTTTCTTTCTGTTTTAGAGTTGAAAGTAAAAGTGTAATTGAGCCGAACCAAGCCCGAATAGTGGCAAGCTTGATGTTTGAGCTCAAGTTCTGTTTCCAATTCTTTTTACTCAAACAATTACTTGAGCTCGTTTGTATTTAAGCTCGAGCTTGAACTTTGTCTTTTGCAGTAAAATAAGGGTATTTATATAATTTTAAATATAAAAATATTTAAAATATGTATTAATGAAAAGCTCAATTAGGCTCATGAGCTGTTTGAGCAAGGTATTATGGTGCTCGGATTCGGCTCAATTATTACTGAATCGAATTTGAGTTTTTTCAAGCCGAACTCGAATAGCTTATGAAAACTAGTGTCTCATTTACACCCCTAGTTTAGAGGATATTCATGTCTTCAAAAGTGTGGACTTGGCATAGAGGTTTTGGGGGGATGATACTTGGGTATTTAACCTAGAGTTAAGGCTCGAGTCAACTCTCCATAGAGACTGAAATGGTATCTTTCATCATTCAACCGTTTCTTGGATCAGATAATGATACATTTTAATCCTTTGGATAAACAAAAAATGGAATTAAATATCCGATGAGAAGATGAAATAAACCTTTCCGACTTTTACGACTTAAGTTATGAATTGAGAGGGAGATAGAAAGTCGAAGAGGAGATAAGAGTATTCAATAACCTGGGGAAGATCAATTAGATAATCTAATACTAGTTATAGCATCATAGCCAAGTGATTTTGGCCTCTAATCCCATTTTAGTTACTGTTCATAATTTAATCCTTATAGGAATGACTTTATATTAGCCTATTTTCAACATGTCTGCAACCCAAATATGGTTCATAAAGCCTCATTTGCTGTTATGTAAATTTCATTGGAATACATGTTTGCAATAATATTCTTACTAAGCTACGTGTAGGAATCAACTAGTACCTATGAACTTGTCGAGGTGAGCACGGGTGGAAAATTGAGCAGGCATAACGTCCATATTCAACAATTGGGCTCCGATACAGTAACCGAATTAACAACATTTCATTTGTGTGTTGGTGACCAAACACAAGATCTACACAGTAGAATAGTTTTGGACCATCCACGAGGTTATTGTCAACAACTTCACAAATGCATCGTGGCTCATTCATCAGGGCAAGCGGTTTTCGATGGGAACGTAAAGGTCAACAGGTAACACTTGTCTGCTAACCTCTGGAATCTGGGAAGTGCCTCAAACAACATAGTTGCTTTCCTTTGATATCATTTGCTTGTCATCTTTTTGCAGGTATGCACAACAGACAGATGCAGGGCAACTAACAAGGAGCCTCCTCCTCGAGCCTCGAGCAACCGTAAATGTCAAACCCAATCTCCAAATCATTGCTGATGATGTGAAGTGCTCTCATGGAGCTGCCATAAGTGATCTAGAGGAAAGCCAACTCTTCTACTTTCAAGCTCGAGGGATCGACTTGGAGACTGCTCGGAAGGCTCTTGTATTTTCATTTGGTGCTGAGGTTATTGACAAGCTACCGCATACTTCTCTCCAGAAGCAAGTAAAAAATAATGTTAAAGAATTGCTTGGATCCACAACCAAAGACTCCTAATAATCAAAACAATGACTTGGTTTATGTATCAAATTGTTATAATCATGTGTTTTTCGAATAATCATTCCTCCATTCATACAAATTTTGTTCTTGTTTGAAGTAGAGAGGAATAGCTGTACCTGCCGTATAAAACATTGTTGATGGATGCTTAACTGCTTATTTTGTTGAGAAAAGTTAGTAGATTTTTTATAAAAGACCAAGGAGTTCATCTTATATAACTGTGCTAGAAGAAGATTAGTTCGCTGAACCAGAATATGGAACTCATTGTAGAAATGATTCTGTTATATCTTTGGAAACTGTTATCTCTTCGTTAGACAAGATCTACATAGATTTTTCTCGCTTTAAAGCTTCCAATAAACTCATCTCATCAGGACATGAGAGTATCATAGTCTTCAAATCAACTATAGTGCACAGATAAGAATTTTGACAGAATTATATAATCCACCATTGTAAAAATCTTAAAATTTTTAGTAACTATTTTTTTCTCAATAAATCAAATAAACTTGTGAATTAAAAAATAAAAACTATGTTCGCCCTCGGACTTAATAAAAACCCCATTTCAACCCATCAACTACTATGAAAAGTCACATCAACACTGTAAACTATCACGTCGGTATCGTGAACTATCACACCGACATCATAATCGTCAACAACGGAAACCGTTCGTCAAAGGATCACATTAGACTTTAATTTTAAGGGCCACATTGAATACAAAAATAGTTCAAAGACCAAATTGATTTTTTGAAAAAATTTGAGGGCCTCACATACCATTAAATCAAAAAAGAAAAGGGAACTCAATCATACCGATTAAGATATCGATCCCCTAGCCTTTTCCAACCCTTTCTCTACCGATCAAGATGAACTCCAATGTCTGAACAAATCTAAGTTCTTTGAATTCGAGGAAATTGATTTTCGATCAAACTTCATTTCCTTACGAGAATTAGAATCATCTGAGAATTTCTATTCATCGTTGAAACCATTTCTTTTCTTTCTAAAGTTGACAGTAAATTTATTAACGATAGAAACATATTAAATAAATTATTAAAATAATCCAACTATCAATATACTATTAGTGAGACGCCAAAATGGGCATTGGAAGAAAATATTCTATTAGAAAAAGGAATAGTGGGCGTATAATTCATATAAGTCTTATTGAAAAATGATACTCATTCACATGGTTTTCACTTCACAATCACATGAAACAGTAAAAACAGCAGCATACACACACATATATATATAGATGATATTATCTTTGTAAGAAAGGGTGTTGGGATGAGGCTTTCGTTGCTCACCATTCATTCATGATAAAACCTGCATCGCAGCCATAAACCATTCAACCCGTCTTCTCTTTATTTCATTCCCCCCTTACAGATTTGCAGCCAAAAGCCCATAACACACAGAAATTAAAGATAGATTGATACCCAGTAACATGGCGCTCAGAATGTGGGCTTCTTCCACTGCCAATGCACTCAAAATCTCCTGTTCCTCCAAAGCTCACCTTTCCATCTCCAGATGCTTTTCCACTGGTACTCAAAATCTTTCTTTTTTAATCTTTTAGTCACTGTTTTTTTATGGTTAGTATGGATTGTGATGTTGATAATGTGTTGGAATTTGCAGTTTTGGATGGGTTGAAATATGCCAAGTCACATGAATGGGTGAAGCTTGAAGGTTCTGTGGCTACCATTGGCATCACTGACCATGCTCAGGTTTCTTCCTTCTTTCCTCGCTTAACTTTTCATGTCCTACTAAAAGTATTAGCTCTTCCCCCCCCCCCTCCCTCCCCTTAGGTTTCCTATATTTGGAGTTCAATTTACTACAATGAGACCTTATATCAAATTTAAGTAGACTAGAGGGATCAAGTTCCAAAGTTTGGAATGATTGTTAACCAGTTAAACAAATTTGATTGAGGATCAAGGAAATAATAAACCTTACCTTCATATATGATCCCCTCATATTGCTCATCTAAGGAATTAGCTTCTTGCACGAACCAAGCGATCTCAGTGATCGAAAAGATGCAAATACATCGTCTGTAGGGGTATTTGAGCGTTTATTGTCAAATGGTTGAGAGTCTTTCGAACATATACTTCCTTTTAATCACATTCCAGACTAATATGAAAAACGGAACTAGCTTCTTACATGATCGTTTATGCTTTAAAGGACCATCTTGGAGAAGTGGTGTTTGTGGAGCTGCCAGAAGCAGGTGGTTCAGTGAGCCAAGGAAAAGGGTTCGGAGCTGTGGAAAGTGTTAAAGCAACCAGTGATGTCAATTCCCCGATCTCTGGCGAAGTCGTCGAGGTTAACTCCAAGCTCACTGAAGCTCCTGGCTTGGTATAAAATCCTCTCATCCTCAACTATATATGTACTTAAAAAGTGCTTTCCTTGATGACTTGTAAGTTAATTTAACATGGTGTTGGTGTTGCTGTTGAAGATCAATAAAAGCCCATATGAAGAAGGATGGATGATCAAGGTAAAGCCCAGCAGTCCATCAGAACTAGAATCATTGATGGGTTCAAATGAATACACCAAATTCTGCGAGGAAGAAGATGCTTCCCACTAAAAACCCTCTATACCATATTTTCAGCTTATGTCAACAAGCATTGTCCTACATCTTTTATGTTTATCAATCATAAAACATCTACCCTTTCTAGTAATAAAATCTTCTTTTCACTTTAATATGTTGTAATAGTACCGTTCTTATTCATATCCAAATCTAAGAACAAGGAGAATCTGCAGATTCTCCTTAGAAAAAGACACCATTAAGAAGATTGCCTTGATCATTTGACCTTCATGACTTTGGCAAGGCAGTTGTCCATAGGCCTTGGAAGAGGTAAATACACAATGGGGCCTCCAGGATTGATTTGTTCAAGCCTACAGATTAAACAAACAGAAGAAAAAACAAAGAAGATATCAATCTTTTTTCGGATTGATTAGTACGTTAAACCAAGTTTTCGGATTGAATTTACTAATCCTGACTCACTTGTAGTTGAGTAGAAGATAATGAAGGAAAATGGAGATCTCAAGCTTGGCCAGATCTGCACCAGGGCAAATCCTGCTTCCTGCCCTAAAGGGAAGGAATGATCCAGCTTTGGGTTTACAGTTCTGCATGCAAGCAATAACTTATTAGATGCAATTTCCTCTCGAGGATCATGAAAACAACCAAATCCAATGTTCTAATTATGGTTTAAGTCCCACTATTATACTGAAATTCGATTGATTTTTTTCTTTTGATTAATTTATGGTGATTACAAGATAGTATCTGTTGTAAAGATTCTTAATAATTTGACAATGAAAGCTCAATCACTCTTACAGTCTCTGGTGCTCAAACTTAGAGACTCTAAGAATAACAATCATCCATTTAACCACTGAGATAACTTGGTTCGTGTATTTATATGTAAACTTTATTGTGTGATCGGATAATAATAATAATAATAAATGTGTCATACTTTTAATGGTAACAACTAACGGTATTAATTTAGACCTACTTATAAAAGTAAAGGTATTAGACTATGTAAAAAGAGTATTGATTAAATTTCAATTTTCAGCAAAGTAAATATACCGAAACTAATAGTAATTATACGTTTTAACAGGTTATGTTTTAGGGTTTTTAGCCATGCCAATGTTATAAATTTAAAACTTAGGCTTAATTGTCAAATTGACCATTAAACCGCATCTTTTTCTTAAGTGGGTATCTAATTTTGTTTAATCAAGAGTGATACTTATTATTATTACTTTCAGGGGTAAAATTAGGATATCATCTTAAGGGGCAAAGTATATTTAACAATAGAATTTGAGATAGGCAAAATGAAACTAAACAAAAACTAAAAGGGTTAAATAAGTATTTTTTAAACGAAGAGTGGCTTCGTACCTGATTACTTCCATTAGTCAACAATGATTTAAAAGTGATCTGGCTCAATAATTGAACAATACGTGACATGTTTCAATTGATTAAAAGTCAATATAAAAATAAGGGTCGAAACTATATTGTTTTTTTTATTTAGGTATTTAAATTATTTTTTGATTAGTTTAACTGTCTAATGTTATAAATGTTATCATTTTAAGTGTCTCGACTGTAGAATCATTAGAAAATTTCGTTAAATGACACATGTTATATTATGGTAATTTAGAAAATTTTTATTTTATAAAAAATTTAAAATATAATTTTAAAAATATCAAAATTTCCAGAAATCTTAAAAAATATACCAAAACTTTGAAAATCTTTATTTCAATCACTTTTCCCACGTTGGCCACCGCCGTTTGCCATCATTGTCGTCGATCAAACTTCCACCCAACCGGATCTCCACGGACAACACGACCACCGTCCACTAACCTTTGAAATCATTCCAACCGCCATCACCAAATGCTAACATTGGGTAAAGGGGGACGAGGGGGCAATAAGTGAAAGGGAGGGGGAGTGGGAGAGGGGGAGAGATGGACGGGAAGAGGTGGGATTTTTTTTTTAAATATATATTTTTAAATATAATAATTTGTTTTTAACTTTTTTAAATAAAATCTTTAAAATTACCAGAATATGACACATGTTATTTAACGAGATTTTTTTAACGACAGTTATGGTCGAGACACTTAATTAAAATGATAATGTTTGTAACATTAGACACTTGAATTGACCAAAAAATAATTTAGAGACCTAAATAGGAGAAATGACATAATTTCAACACTTATTTTTATATTAAACCAAAGTTATTTTCTTAATGAAATTAATACTTTGGATAATTAAAAAGAAGGTTTAGACGTCACTTTTGATTAAAACAAAGTTTTAGACATCTAATAAGAAAGGAGTATAATTTAGGGTTGAAGTTATTAAACTTACATCCCATCTTGTACGGAGGAACTCCTTTGGGTTTGAATAAACTTGAGGATCCATATGAACACCCCTATTCCATACCAAAACCTTCCAACCTTTTGGTATCAAATAACCTGTGGAAAAAAACAATGCTTTTTTTTATTATTTAATGGACAAACGTAAAAATTTATGTCAAGAGGAGGGAATTTAAGAAATTATATTAAAAATTTAAGAATGCGGAATTATAAAATTTTAAAGGATACAAAATTAGATAATCGATAAAAAATATAAAGAAAAGTCTAAAATTTAAGGGAATTTGAAATTTCTAAGGATGCGACTTCATCCAACACCACTCGATTTATCCCACTTACA